TCAGTTGTTTTATGTGAAGCATGTATTTTCATACAATTCAGTACAAAACTGTGTGTTATTTAAACTCTCAAACAGTCTATATGAGTGGTTCTTAACATTTTTGACTTTAAGACCTTTCTTTGTCCTATCTAAGCTGATATGCACTGCTGGTACTTCTGTTGTAATAAAAAAAGTAAATAAACACAAAAATATGATGTCAGTTTAATGTTGTACATTTTTATTTGTAGTGTTTCTTTAGCATTTTAATTAAGATTGTTAATATAACTAAATTTAAATATTTTTCAGACTTATTGCCCCCTGCCCTGCCATAGTCGCTGTAGTCAGTGGCACTACTGTTCTAAGTGAATAAACTTTTGGTAAGCAAGGTCACTGTTCTCATGTTAGCCTATTTAAGATCAGATTTACTAAACAGGGCAAATTAGAACGAGAGCGCAAATCCATAAAAGCACAGATGGGAGTGGAAAGTTCTGCAGGTGATCTACTGACAATGTGCAAATGAAAGAATGCAGATGCAATATCTCATTTCCATAATGGCTGATGCAATCTATCAAGAGCAAAGCAAATTAGCGTAAGGATATGTTTGGATAATGTCTTCCTCTGGCATTCCCAATAAATTAATATGAGTGGAAAAAATTCTCTCCCTTCTGCCACACGCTGTAATGAGGTCACCTTAGGCGGGACTCGAACCTGGGTCAATGCTGTTCTAAGAGTGGTGTGTTCTCCACTGAACTAACTCCCAGACAATAAAACTCGAGAGCAGAAGAGTAACGAGCCAGGAGACTCGAGTCTTCCGAAAAATAAAATAATCTTTACTTGAGAAACCAAGGATACAAAGTACAAATAAACTAGGATAGCTTCCACAAAACAGAGAAGTATAAATAGACACAAGTGTCAAAAAGGTACAATAAGGCACAAACTTAACTTGAGATCTGGTGACTGGAGTACAAAGGCTCAAGACTGAAAACAATGGTAGGGAACAAGCAGACTTATAAAGGGCAAGAAACAGGTGAAGAGAATCAGGGCTAATGAGGAGAGTACCGAGAGGGAATAGATCAAATGGGCTCTGCACACAAGCGTAGTGATGATCTTCTGCTGTCACCAGAATGTCACCACTAGATGTCTCCAAGATCTGCTTAAAATAAGCAGGGGACCAGGCATCAACGATACTATGGACATGAGGTTAAAGTGCCATCTGGAGCATGACCTAGAGCAGAGATGGGCAAACTCGGTCCTGGAGGGCCACTGCCCTGCAGAGTTTTGCTCCAACCCTGATCAAACTCACCTGCCTGTAGCCTTCTAAGGTGCGTTCCAAATGGGATATATCACCCTCCGAAGGGCACTTCGGAGTGAAAACAATTATGTCCGCCATATTGAAGGGTCATTCCAAACCAAAAGTGCTCAAAACTGGCCACTTCAAAGGGCCCTTCGGAATGAAGGATTTCGAAGGGTACAACTGTTGGACACTTCGGGCTCCCATGATCCTTTGTGCAGATTCTTTGCATGATGACGGCGCCTCCGTGTGGGCACGTGATGATGACGCAGAAGGGCACTTCAAGAAACAGTTGTTTGGTCCCCTACACCCTTCAATCCTTCGAAGCTCTCACTCCGAAGTGTAAACCCTTTGAAGGGATTAGGGCATAGGGATGAGCCCTTCCGAATGGAACGCAGGGCTAGCAATCCCGAAGACCTTGATTAGCTTCAGGTGTGTTTAATAAGGGTTGGAGCAAAACTCTGCAGGACAGTAGCCCTCCCAGGACCGAGTTTGCACATCTCTGACCTTGAGGCTTGAGGAGAGCGCCCACTGCAGATCAGGAGGGGAACAGCAGCACAGAGATGAGCTCTTTACAGGCGCTCTCTGTTTTCAGCAACAATCGCAGTCATGTCAAGCACAAAATGAGTTAAGACATCCTTTTTTTGGGGTGGTAAATAATCGCGCAAATATCAGTAAATTGACTACCGCAAACCTTAGTAAATCATGTTGCGTGATTCATTTAAATACTCTCCTCTCATAAATGTTGTGTCTGAAAGGGACACTCCTACAAATGCATAAGCAATCAGTTCAGCCGCAAAAAATGACTGTGTCCACACCTTTTCATAACAAATTTCTCACTGCGTGTCTTTAGTAAATCCTGACAGTCATTTTTTAACGCCAAAAGAGGGTTTGCACTGGCGCAAGCTGTTAGTAAATCTGGCCCAAAATGTATGAACCTTCTGGCCATACCTTTGAAACAGAATGTATTCCAATCACAGGGAAATGCCTTCGCCCATAGACCTCCATTGTAAGTGCTTTATTGTAAATGCAATATTCGAAAAGCAAATCGAAATTATTTTCTATAGTAAAAAAGGTAAGATAAGATAAACTTGTATTTAATCAGGAACATTCCTGTGAAAGACGGTTTGATATTCCAGTTTGGAAAGACAGTTTGGTATTCCAACAGAAACAGAAGACAGTAAATAGTTTGGCTTTAGAGTGTGCCACCAACATGAGCTTATTCAAAATGGCATATTAGTGGTAAAGTGGTAGTGAATTTAAAATACAAGAGTTCAGAGAAGCAATAAAGTGGAAAACTAAGAGTATTCAGTATATTTGCTAGTATTTAAAATAACTCTATTAGGGATGCACTGACATCAAAAATCTAGCCATTTCTGACAGGCAGACAATTATTTTACGTAATGGATAAATGTCCAATATTAAAAGTATGTACTAGTTTGTACTAGTTTAAAAAATAGAAAATAAAGAAATATATAATACATAAAAATATAAAAGATACTATAAATAAAATTAGAAAAAAATAACAAAACAAAAGTAAAATTTAAATGTTATGACAAACTAGTAACTGAAAGTATGAAAGATAGATTTTCCTTTCAACATTAGCTTATGATTATTAAATTAATTAAATTTATTAGTGTTATTAAATTATTCATGTTATTAAATATTTTGTGAGTAAATGTAAAAATGGGGAACATACCATGCATAAATATCCAATACTGACCAATACCAATACATTTAAATCACTAACATCAGCCGATAACGAATATAGTTTAAATACATATACTGCATCCCTAAAATATATTAAATATATCTATAAATACTTATTTAAACCCTGTTAGATTCCTTAAGCTGCCAAATAAAAATTAAGTAATGAAAAAAAAGAAGAAATCTGTGTTGCATCCGCAGTTTTTCCATAATTCTGCACTCTAAAAAATGCTGGGTTAAATACAAGCCAGTGCTGGGTAAAATAGTGACAAACCCAGCTATTGGGTTGTTTTGACCCAGCGGTTGGGTTACTGCCCAGAAGGTTGGGTTAAACATTTAATCCAACCGCTGGGTCAAAACAATCCAATTGCTGGGTTTGTCCCTATTTTACCCAGCACTGGGTTGTATTTAACCCAGCATTTTTTAGAGTGTGTACCTAAAGTCACATTATACTGCAGAACTGTTCACAGTGTTGCTATAAACACTGATGCCACATTGGGTGTGATTCCTAACTTACCTTTCATCTACCGACGGCTCCTTCAGTTGTAAAAGGGGTTTGACCCCCGTCATGGGTCGCACGTTTGTGGATAAGGCCTTGATTACATAGATGATCTCATTCTCCCGAGTTACATCGCTGTCATACCCTACACAGATGGAGAGACGCCTCACTTTTATATCATGACATACGGCATTTAAATGAACATTTTATCATATGATGGATGGCTACCCTCTTTAAATCTAGATGACAGTGGATGACAGTAATAACTGTTCTTTATGAATGATCTTTTTCACCTCCATCATCTTCGCTCTCGATGTCTGACTCCTCGCTGTCACACTGTCTGGCCTCTCGGCGGCCCTCGGTCTCATGGCTCCAGATCATCAGACAGGTGTCAAAGCCACCGACCGACGCCAGCAAAGAGTCGTCATGCGACCAGCGCACATTAGTCACATGGGTACTGTGGGCCATGTACTGCTTAAACTTTGCATATTTCCCCTATTGAGATAATGAAAATGTTAACATGTATGAAGGTAAATGATCATTTAAAATATCTAAAATGAGAGCTACCTACACCCAAAAAAGGCTAAACATATGTCAATTATATAAAGTAAATTTTTTCATGGTTTCTGATTTAAACCCGTTTTGTTCAGATTGTCTAAAAGCAACTAACTCTCCCCATAAAAAATAAATAAAAATTCTCCTACTTCACTTCTTGTCTGTTTTCCATACTCAGCTGGCCAAAAATAAATCTTAAAAAAAAAAAAACAGTGTGGATGTGCAGAACACATACTGGCAAGCTTTACTGACTGCAGAAAATATTGTGGGTTTTATTCATTTTCTGGTGTTTTTAGTAAATAACTTCCAACATGAAAAAGACATGAGGATAAACATTTATTCATAGAAAGCAAACTAAATTAAACATTGAGTAACAAAATGTTTTTATTTTTGTACTAAGTGAAAATTCTACTTTTACTAATATTAAATCAAAATGTGAGGTTTGACCCACACCTTCAACATAATTTGAGAAAAACTAATATATTTGTCTGACAAATATTTTTCCAAATTATCAAAAGTATAATTTTTCAAAGTATCAAAAATAAAGCTCAAAGTATCATTTTTGTTCAGTGTATATATCTAAAAATCAAATGAATCTTGATCCAAAATGAAAATAAATAAATAAATACATACATACATACATAAAAATATATATCTAAATATCTTCTTTTGTGTTTCACAGCTTAAAAAAAGAAATGCATACTTTTTGGAACAACATGAGGCTGAGTAAATGATGACAAATTTACATTTTTGGGTCAACTATCCCGTAGTATGGGTGACCGTAATAATTAATGATTAAATAACACTTTCTTAACCTTGACTGGATATTTGAAGAGCTTGACATATCCAAGATCATCCCCAGTAGCTAGCAACTTCCTGTCATTGCTAAGACATGCGGAAGTAACTTCAGTAACTTCACTGACCGCAGGCCAGATTCCCTCACAGGAACTTCCAAGCACACACGTCCATGTGCTCCAGTCGATCTTGTCCACCTGAGGAAGGAAAAGACAGCACGAAAGCTAATAAGTTCTGCTAATAAGAACAATATAAAGAGTTTGTTCTAAAGCTGTATGTTGTGAAGAATAACTGGAATTAAGCAACACTTTAATGAAAATGAATTGGCAGCATTTATTTCGATATTAAAATCCAACTCAATCCAACAGGGGCTGTGGCCAAAAGGCCTTCTACAGAAGCTGCACACTTAGCTAAAGGCAGGAGATCAGAAACACCGAAGGGCTTCCAGCTCTTACTAAATCTTAAGTTATTAAAGTCCCCATGAAATCAAAATTAAAGTTTTTTGGGTGTTAGTATCAATATGTTAGTCTTAAGGTTATCTATAAGGCAGTGTGCTCCAAAACAGTGACAAAATTTGCATTTAGAAGATATAAGCATTCAAAGCTTGCAGTTCGTCACTTCCGCCAAAACGGCTCAACGATTTTTTTTGACGTCACATCGTACTTCAGCTTCTCATCAAACTTTCTGTCCAATCAAATGCTCTCTAGAATGCGAAGCGCCCGCCCCCTACACTATCAAATATACGCTGTACGTAAAAAGTGACCAGCTGAAATCGGTCACTTGTCCACAGAATTAGTATTTTCTGTACAGTTAATGGCACGTAGTGCACTATATAGGGGACAGGGAACGATTCAAACTGTGTAAATATGCTTTCCATTGAGGAAAGAAAGAAGCCTGGTTTCACGCTGTGTTACGCTAACCACCGCACCGCACACACACTCTGCTCCGGTCCAGAGACACGATAGCACGGAGCGGATCACATGCGCGAGTCGGCGCAGACCACAAAATGTATCGGAGCTATTTGAATTCTACACAGAATGCTATATTTTATAGCAATATTTATGAGATTGTGGCTGGCATACCCTGTCAAATGTGGCTTTACGGAGCTCAATGGCTCTAGCCCAAGCTGTGATATAAACGAACGCTATTGGCTATTTTAAAAAGGGGCAGGGCTGCTTGATATGTCCCGCCCTGTCTTCCTGTTTCAGTTAAAATGACGTCAACACATAGAGTAATGCTGCGTGTTTCTAAGCATTTCAGGGGACCTTTAAGGTAAGCATTCACTGTCTGTCCCAGCGTACCGGTGGCCTTAAGCACGGCCTAATTCCCTGCCTCCAAATTTAGAGACAAGCTAATGAAAAGTGGGCCATGTTCTTGCCCTTAAGAGTGCCCTTCCCCCTCCCAAGGTGACACACGGTCAGATGCTCAGGATCCATACCTCTGTAGCAGGAATTGTTTGCTTCTTTCCACGAGGGGCCTCAAAAAATAGCTGCTCCTTTGCTGATGTGTTGACCTGCAAAAGCTTCCCTAATACAAGAAAACAGAGGAGAGATGCTGAGATGTAACCGAGTTAAGCTCAGAAGATCTCTTCAAATGTGAATTCCGCCAAGATACAGTATGGACAACCTGCAGTTTGTGATAATATGTAGAGTAACCATATGAATCTACATGTTTGTTCATATAAACGTGAGCATTGGATCTGAATTGCCACAAGCACTATTAGTTGGGAAGCAGTTTCACTCCTGAAGGAGTGTTCATTCTGACAGCTGTGGCGGGAGGAGCAAACGACAGACACAGTGGGTGTGGCGTCAGGCCTCGGAGAGGCTTTTATTTAACAGAAAATAAACATAAAATGTCCAAAATGGGGAATAAAGTGTCCAAAGTTGAAGGAGTGTCCAAAATTAACAGGGGATCTGGTGTCCTCGTTGTGCCGGGGAATTGTGAAGGAAGGGCAGTGTTCGGAAAGGAGGGGTAATGGGCGGAGTCCAGTGGCCACACATGCTCCTCTCTGCGGTCCGGGGCACGAGGGGTGGCGGCTTCTTCACAGTGGCTCATCTCCCTTGAGCCACCAGCTTGAGGGGATTATTGGTCCGGCATCCTGACCTGTCGGCAGTGTCACGGGTGTATCTCCATTCCGGACCACGGGTCCGGCAGCTCGCGTCTCTGGCGGCGTGGGAGTCCCTCTACGCTCCCCTCCTGGACCCATGAGGACACCATTGTGCATGCACAGGGGGAAGAGACCGGTCTCTCGAGGAGAGGCGCGCTCGCCATTTAACAGCGGCGGTGATAAGGCTTGTGGAATGTTGTGGAAATAAATCGTGAGACTTTTTGCCGAGATCTCGTGAGCGGTCACGGAAACCTTTCCAATGTATGTTAAATATTATTAATAATTAGATATTACATATAATTTGGTAGTAAAACAAAGAGTTGCACGTTTTATTGGTGCAAATGAGTAGTGGTGATAATTATTGTGTACAACATTTGCAACTGTTTTTTATCACTAGAAGCACCACGAAATTAAATTGTGTAATCTGTTATAGGGACTACTGAACAGACATTTAGAAGTTGATTTTAAAATGCAAAGTATTGAAAATAAAAATAAAGCTCTGTAAACACTTGCATTTTTACAACACTATAAGTGTGTCCCATCAGGTAATGAAAAGTTGTACACACACTTGTGGTCTTCTTGCTCACTTGAACACTTGGACCAAATACAGGAAATACGTCATAGAAGTAGTCAAGTGGTCAAGTGCAAAGACCGCAAGTGTGGGTATTTGGACAAGGCATTAGTTGTTCTAAAGCCCTGAAGTATACTTCAGCCGTCAGTGTTCTGCGACAGTCCACGCACAGTCCACGTGGCGTAATGTTTGTCATCAGCAGTGTCCGTGGATGTTTGTTCATACATTTTTCTGTCTGCATGGACAGTGCACTTACAACAGGTGCGAGATAGAAAGAGTCCACTAGGTGTTACTGCACGTCTCGAACTCATCAATCCGCACTCATCCGCGGCTGAGTATACTTTGTGTGCGAGATGAAGCGGAACGAGGAAAATGAAGTAAACCTAAGCCTTAAGGATATTGTTGGGCTGCACAAGAAGCAAAAGCAGTAAGGCAGGTGAAGAAAAAAAATTCCCATTAATTTTATCAAGTAATTGATTATTTTAGTTCTTATAATTGTTGCATTAAAACTGACTTTTATACAAAATTTTATTGCCCTTGACCTAAACCTAGACTTTCAATCAGACTCGCACTCTAAACTATGAAAATTCACCACAAAAACATTAAGTATATCTATTAAATATTATTGTTTACAATATATTCAATATTTCTTTTGTAAAAATATCTTATATCAGTTTTTCAGAAATTACAACTGTCCCAACAACTGTGCACTTAATAAAGATTTTTCTAAGTCAGTGTACTTTACACAGTACTTTTGTAGGCAACAACAGTGTTAGTGAAGAGCTTGAGATGAAATATGGCATTCAAGGCAACTTATAGAATCCTAATTTTCTTACAAGTCTTCAATCTTGCCAACACAAAACCACAGTAGGGGGAGAGTTGAGCCACCCCTTGTTTCTAGGCAACATTAAACAAAATTGGTGATGTGACCACAAATATGTTAAGAGTAATCCATTTTACTCACCCTGCGATGAAGGCCCATGGAATAACTGGTAAGTACATTTAAGTTAAAAAAACTTTAACTTAAAACCACTTTTTTTGTTCAAGGTCTCATGCTTCTTGTGTCTGAACAATTACAGACAAATCTGAAAAAATATCACACGTGTTTGTGCTTTATTAAGTTATAATATGAGGCTTTATTGTTAGCATGATATTAGCTCTAAACTGGAGGATGATACAAGTTTGTTAAAATGGTAGGAGTGGGGTAATTTGAGCGGAGAGTCCTGGGGCAAGTCGAGCCAGTGGCTCATCCCTTTTTATGATTATAAATTATTATTTTACTGTAATTTTACATTATACTTCATTCATTTTAGATCAAGCATTTTTGATTTTGTTCTTTGTTTTGAACTTGATTTTGTTCTGAAATTTGTTCAATTTTAAATAGGCCTTGTTCATGAAAATTGCCCATTGAAGTTTTTATTAAATTTGGGATGTTGGGTGAAAGTGGGATGTTGAGTATTAGCCCAGTTCTGTAAGGTCAATTGCAGTTTTTTTTTATTATTATTACTTAATCTGAACTTTCTTTTTGTTATGAAATTTATAAATGATTTCAAAATGGCTTCAAAATTGTGTATTGCATCTTTAAATAATAATAAGTTTTAAGACGTTTTAAGAAGTCATCCATCCATCCAATCCATTATCCAAAGCTCTTTGTCCTTATTAGCGTTGCAGGGAGCTGGAGCCTAAACCAGCATCTTGAGCCACAGGCAGGGAAACACACTGGATGGATGGCCAGTGAGGTGAAAATGTTCAGTTTTTACTTCAACAAAATCAATGGCACGGTTTAACTCCATGTGGCTCAACTAACCCCGCTCTCCTCTAATTAGAAGGACACGGATCACAAGAAATGTCTTCACTTCAACTAGTCTCCACATTGCACAAATGCATGAAGTTAAACCCGCCTCAACTTGCATCAGACACATTGCATCCCTGTCACTATCACTCATGTTGCCTGAAATCCCCAACTCTCACTGAAGAAGATGAATGACTTCTGGTTGCTTTGTTGCTACAAAATGCTGCCAGTGTGAACGTCCCTTGACTCATTTGCTCTCTAAAACACAGCGTTTGTGTCTTGTATCTGTCTCACCTCTCTTGTCCCAGTCCAGATGGGTGATGTAGTTCATGGAGCCTTTGCACACACCAACCCTCTTGCTGCTCATCACGTTGTAAATATCCACTAAGCTGTCACCTGATGCCACAGCCAAATACTTGCCTGTTACTGTAATAAAGATCAGTTTTTCAGTTTTGAGTCTTACCACGACCCAGCCATCACTTCTTATTAATATGTTAATATATTCCTGCAAGTATTTGTTAATTACATTAGCATATGTGAAGGTACAGAAATAGTTTATACTATCATACCGAATAGATCAGATGAAAGAATTCGGATGTTATATTCATGTTCTCAGTACTCTAGGTATTTCCATTGAACTGATATTAGTGTGTTAACTAACCAGGAGAGAAGCGGATGTCTGATATGATGTCTTTGCGGTGATGAAATGACACCAGGTCTTCTAGAGTTTCGGCGTTGACGATGAGGAAGCTGCCATCATTGAGACCCACAGCTAGAGATTTCCCATCTGGAGAGAAGCAGCAACATCGCCCACCTGTACAAAGTTAGAACTGTTAAACGCCATGGCACGTCAAGCACTCTGTTGCTAAAAATCTATCATGACAACTGAACAGACTGATTCTCTATAGAGCTACATATGAATGTAGAAAATTGTACAGGTAGTAAGTAAAGGGTTAGTTTAAATATCACCCATTATTTATTCTCTCAAATGGACCTCTATCTGCAATCTCAATTAGGAGTGTCAATGGTCCATTTGAGAGATAGGTGGTGGTAATGCACTAATAAGTCTGCGATCCGCCGTAAAGCAAGAAGAAGACGCGTCGGCTATTGAGAATGACCTCAGGACAGTTCAGACATTGCGGTGGATCAGAGGTAAAAAACTATATAAATACTGTTCAGTTTCTTGCACAGACCGATCGTTTCGTGTCTTTACACATCAATTTATTGTCACGAGCAGCAGGGTTCAATTTGGTTTTGTTTGTGTATGGTTTATGACTCTCAAAGCCGTGATTCCCATTCACTTCCATTATATGACTGACAGGCTGCAACGGTTTGAGTTAAAAATCTTCGTTTGTGTTCTACTGAAGAAACAAAGTTAACAAACCTACATCTTGGATGCCCTGGGGGTAAGCAGATAAACATCAAATTTTCATTTTTTGGGTGAACTATCCCTTTAATGTTAGTATTTAAATGCAATTCAATAATTTAATAACACTATTAAATGTAATCTTTAGAAAATTGTAAAATCTACTACTGTACCTACTGTACATTAGAATGTTGTGATGCCTAAAGTCATGTGTAGAATTGTGTAGCATATCATTCATATGAATTTTGTTAGTGTTTTCATTTTCATTTATTTTGAACAAATAGTATAGTATTTTAATCAACCATAACATAAAAGTAATATTGGCCATAATATGACATTAAAGGGATAGGTCACCTAAAAAAATTTAAATTCCGACATTATTTACTTATCCTGATGCTATTCCAAACCTGTATGACTGCAATGTGGCATGTTTGAATATGCAGAAATGCAAATGAGAAATGAGAACTACACTGGAGGAGAAGCATTTCAGTAAATATCTGTTATTCACAAAAAGTTGAATAAACAAGTCGAATGGTGTACTTTTATGAAACTTATGAAAAATCACACAGGTCTGGATCAATATGAGGATGAGTTTTTTGGGTGAAAGCTCTTGAACCCATTACACAATCCTTTAAAGGGGTCATATGATGCGATTTCAATTTTTCCTTTCTCTTTGGAGTGTTACAAGCTTTTGGTGCATAAAGAAGATCTGTAAAGTTGCAAAGACTAAAGTCTCAAATCCAAAGAGATATTCTTTATCAAAGTTCAGAGTCAGCCACACCCTCCTAAAATGGCTCGTTCTAACACGCCCCCACATATCTACCTCACTATGTGGGAAGATTTGCATAACGCCGCCCAAATGTTCACGCAAAGAAAGAAGGCGTAACTTTTATTATCGCTCTAGTATTGTTTGATGCTGCAGCCATGTACGCTGTGTGCTTCGTTGTGAAAGCAAAAGTACTTTGTTTGGTCTTCCAAAAGAGGACGATATCCACTTCGTCATGCCTAGAGCTGATCCGTGCTGGTCGCTGAGGGAATACATCAACTTTCACCGTGGACAAAGCGGAGTCCAGCCCGGGGTCCGTCACATGTGGTTGCCGCTCATTCGTCACATCCGCCGGGCGCGCCGTTCTCGACTCCGTCGCCTCAGCTCACTCTATCCGGCCTCAGCGCACGCTAAGCCGAGGCTTCCCCTCACGCTAGGCCGCTGTGTTTTTCGTTGTGAAAGCGAAACTACTTTGTTTGATCTTCCAAAAGAGGACACGACTACAAATCAGTGGTTAAGTTGTATTTACAACACTGTTCCAGAACAGTTTAACCCAAATATCCAGATGTGTGCAGCACATTTTATGGAGGACTGTTTACTGATCCTGGGAGAGTAGACTACAATGCCGGCT